TGGGAAACTGCCCGCTGCCTGGGGGTGCTTGTGCTTGGGGGAGCACATGGCATCGGAGTCAGCTTGTGGGGGTGAGTGGGCAGCAACGGGGAGCAGCCCCCATCTGCCTTCCAGGTCTTGACAGTGGGGCTCCTCCTCCAAGCAGGGGCTTTTCCTCTGCCACCCCGACCTCAGCAGCCCACCTGTCCCCTCGAACAAGCCTCCCCCAGGTGCACCAGATGACAGCAGGAGCAGCAGCGCCCAGCCCTCAGAGAGGATTCCTGGTGTAGCCTCTCAGACCAGTGGCAGTGGAGTCTGGTTATGTCTAAACAGAACCATTACCCTAATTGCTGTTTGTGCTAATTATTATGTCACCATCGGTCCAACAGCAAGATGGGATTACTCACCCTCCTGGCCACAGAGCAGCAGCCGCTAAAGGACAGAGCCTAAGCCCCAGGGGAGGGAGGGCCAGATGCAGCTCAGGGACCCCAGTGCCTAGCAAGTTCTGTCCAGGCCTGAAGGGACCCTGACCATGATCAAGATGCCTCTTAGTTTCTAGGTATGAGGGTTCAGCTCTGCTGATGTGCAAAGTTCACATAATATACTTAAATGTACAAAAAGAAAAAAGACACGAAAAAAGTGAACTACCTTACTGTCTGTAAACAATTCTATTAAGGCACCTTAATGATGGGGAGTCAATAGTAGAAGACTAATCAAATTTTCTTCCTGTAGGTAACCGGGGGTGCTTATATATAACAACCTCTCCGGGCTTCATTTGAGTGAGTATTCACTTCAGGATGAAAATTCTCTGTCAGGGCTGTTCCTGCCCTGCAAAAGGGGGCTCCCCGCCTCCAGGCCCAAACGTGCAGTTGAGGGGAAGTGGGGACCACCTTCTGCCTTGACGCAGAGGCTTCCGCTGTGTCTGAGGTGACCACTGAGGGCCTCCTCCCCTGCTGGCCAGCCCCCAGCCCCACCTGAGTGCTCACTGATCCTGCCAGTGTCCTGAGTTCCAGCTGTGACTCGAGCTCCATCCATGCTGGGCGTGTCACCTGGCAGTCTACAGGCTGCTTTTCCCACCCTAACAGTGACTCCCTGATACATCTGCCAGTCAGCATTCCCTGCCTCCTTTGCAGCATCCTCAGGATGTGCAGAAGCTTCCAGATGCCCTGTTCGTCTCATAAAGGTGTAGAGAGCTGGGGGAGGAAAGAGCTCAGGACCCTCTCTCTGGACCTCTGCCTTCATCATCACAGTTGGCCTCCCTGTCCCCTCGGGGATGTGGCCTCAGGAAGACCCTAGGCTTTCCTGAGAGGCTTGTGACTTCCCAGCTCTGTGTCCCAAGAAACAAGGACCTGCGAAAGGGCCTCCTGAGCTGCCTCTGGATGTTCCCATCCTGAGAGGATGCTGGAACCTGATGGTGAAGGAGGGCAGACTACTCAAGTCTCACCTCCACATCCTCCTCCCCAGCCCACTGTGGGCCACAGAGGGTTTTCTCTTTCCTACTCTCATCAAGTGGAAGCTTCTCTAACCATCCTCTGCCTACATCTGTCCCTGACCCTCCTGGCTCAGCCAAATCACAGAACTGTGGTAAAAGGATGACATCAGGAAAGATGTGAAAACAATAGGATTACACAAAAAACTCAAAGCAACCTGAGGTAAAGGATGAGCTGGAACTTGGAGCCAGAAGGACAAGTTTATATCCTGAGTGCTGCCTTTTCTAGGCAGAAAGAGTGTGTGCAACAGCAGAGATGCGGCGGGCTGGGGATTTAGCTCAGTGGTTCCACCGCTGGCCTTGTAAGTGCAAGGTCCCAAATTCGATCCCCAGTACCAAAAAAACAAAAACAAAAACAAAAAGCAGAGACTCGGGGATAGTGTGGGGCGATCTGCAGCAGAGCTTGGCACGCTCTCGAGCGCCGGGCAAAGGAGTGTATGCACTGGCAACCAGGAGCCAAGACGCTGTTGTGGGGCCTTTAAGAGAATGACTCTCCTCTCCAGCTCACGTGGATAGAGCAGCAGCCTGCTGCTGTCCTTGCTGTGACTGATGGCTCCTGGCTTCCCTCACCTGCTCCAACTCAGCCCTGACTTGGTGTCGGGGATGCTAGGGACAGAGCCTCTCGGTAGTGGGAGCCCATGTAACACCATGTTAACTGGCACTCAGAGAAGCCTAGGGTGGGGTGGATATAAAGCAGATCCACAGAGAGGCAAGAAGAGATGAGGGCCCCTCGGGGAGCCTTATAGCATCCTCACATTTGGGATCCATTATCACTGCAGTAGACAGCTTTGAGCAAGGGAGGGGAATTAAAACAATTGGAATAAAAACAATGATGACAGCACCTGCATTTAGCAAGTGACTCCACATGCCTGGCTCTTGTGATGGTGCATGGTCCTTCTGGCCACCCGCCAGTGTCCATCCTCTCCCCAAGCCCTGCTGTGGACACTTTCCTGCTGAGGAAACCTCTGTGAATCATGAGTCACACTGGGACCCAGACATGGGAGGGCCAGGGGAGAAGGGTGTCTGGCCCATGTGGGGTAAGAGGAGCAGGTACCTCCCATGGCATGGATGATTCTCTCACTCTGGGAAACAGCTCTGCCACAGTGGGAGGTCATGCTAAGTGGGTCCTCTCTCCCCACGACTCCCTGGAGCATGGCTGCTGGGACAGCAGGTCCAGGACCCGAGAGCAGCAGAGAGACAGGGATGGTGCAGGTTTGGGGAGATGCCAGGGTGCAGCCCCGTGACCGGGGAAGACTCTGATCATTTCCATAGGTATCCGAAGCCCAATTTCTTATTACTTTCATCCTACTAATGGCTCTCAGATTTAAAAAGCTTAAGAATTCACTCAGCAGAACTTCTCTTAAAAGACACATTTCAGGGTTGGGGAATGTAGCAGTGGTAAAGTTATTGTCGAGTATGCATGAGGCCCTGGGTTCTGTCCCCAGTACAATAAGTAAATAAATAAATCAATATTAAAATCTACAGAAAAGCAAAGGGCACATTTCAGGAAAGCACCTAGGTTTGGGCTGAGGCTCAGGAATATGAATTTTTTTTTAAATTTTTTTGAGAGAGGCTCTCACTGTATAGCCAGGCTGGCCTTGAACTTGAGATCCTCTGCCTCAGCCTCCTGAGTGCTGGGGTTATAGGTGTGCACCACCATGTCTAGAAGGAATATGAATTGTTAAGAACACTTGAGTCCAGCCAATTTTTGTACATTTTTTTATTGTGGTAAAATATACGTAGCATAAGAGCTATGATTTTTGTCAGGTTTAATGCATTTGTATTCTGTGAACCGTCACCATCCATCTCCAGACTGTTTCATCATCCCAAACTGGAATTCTCATTCCACCCTCCCTTGGCTCCTAGCAACCATATCTATATCTGTCATTAGGAATCTGATGACTCTAGGAACCTCTTATAATGTCCTCACATGGTGCTTTTCCTTTTGTTCCTGGCTTATTACACTTAGCATAAAATGTCCTCATTTTGTACCCATGTTGCATCAAATGACAGAACTTTCTTCTGTTTTCTGGCTGAATAATTGTGTTTGTTTATTTCTTCCTTCGGCAAAGGACACTTGGGTAGTTGCCACGTTTTCATTACTTCGAATGATGTTGCTGTGGACATTAAAGCACAAATACCTTTTCTGGTCCCTGTTTTTGATTCTCCTGGGTGTGGGCTCAGACCCTTTCCTCACTTTTAGCTCTGCTGCTTCTCCCCTTTTACTTGCATTACCTCTGACACTTTCTTGGTATCTGGCTTCCAACTCCCATTGCTTGCTAAATTCCAAGAATTTGCCTGCTATTAATGTACACTAATTTTACAGCAACAAACCCCTTGGGGCTGCCTCCATGAAGAGACAGGATCAACTTTAGCTTACTTTGCAATATCCCACATCTTACATCTGCCCTTTCAGGAAAAGTTCTCCATTTATTACAGATCCATTCTGCATCTGATGCTTTCTACTTCTCTTCCCACTGGAAAGCAAGTTATGCTTTCTGAGCAATTTCCATTTCTCTTGCTGTCATTTAAACACAGGTTATATTGTGTCATCCTCCCTAAGTTCCCAGAGACCTCTATAATTATATTTTTTAGAAAGTCTTTCAGGACTTGAGAAGTTCATATAGCTCCAACTTCCATTTACTGCAGGCAAAACTCAGACGACTATTCTCTGTGCCCAGTGATGTGCCAGGGAAAAGCCCGAGACTGGAGAGGAATGAAGCGTGGCCTTGTTTCTGAGGAGGCCGCAGGCGTGAGGGCAAGATTTATGGGCATGAGGCAATCCAGAGAACAATACAAGACAGAGGTGATTCATCTGCTTTATATCAAAGCAAGCAGAGGGTGTGGACAGAGCTGCTCATGTTGGCATAAGCAATATGAGAAGAAATAGCACAGCAATGGTGCGAATGTATAACGCGGGCAGGGGGACAGGAAGACAGCCCTGCAAAGGGAGGTGAAGAGTGTAGTCTGGAAGAAAACCTAAACTAAAAGCAGAAACAAATTCCTCACAGTGTCTTGTGTTTCAGAGTACATGGGTATGATATGAATTCAGAGACGAGACAAGGTAAGTTTAAAACTGAATGAGATGAAAAGAGATTGCAAGGTTAGGAAAACAACTGGAGGACTAAATACAATTAAATATCTAATAAGTGATTTAGAAAGAACAAGGCCATGAATTGAATGGCATAATGGGAAGGCTTGAAGCCATCAGAATCAGTGCAGAGAAAGAGGGACAGAGATGAAAGCAAGGAGAGAAGATAGTAGGTTTGGAGAAGAAAACTAACAGTCAGCTAATATAAGAGTAAGTACTACTACTAAAGGAGAGAAGCAGAGAAATGAGACAGAAAAGGTATTTTCCATAAACATAGGAAGGAGTTTGCAGATCTAAAGGGCACATGGCGTAGCAGAAAAACACCAAAGAACAAAGAACACTGAGACACAGCCTATTCATTACGGAACTCCAAATCATAAAGCGCTTTCCAGGTATCCAATCAGAACAGAAAAACCAGTCATTACAAGAGAGGAGACTCAACTTTATCTTAGATTTTCACATTCAATGACAGAAGACAATAAAGCTATGTGCCCCGGAAATGGACTCCCAAACCCCGCACTAAGGAAGTTGCGTCCAGGGCTAAAAGCAATGGCCTCTGATGTGGTAAGTCCACCTTGAAAGTAAAATCTGACAAGGAACACCGGAAAGCCATGAATAACTGGAGCTAAAGAACTTATAACAGAGGACCCGGGAAAGGAAGGCTAATGGTGGGCACTGCATCTATTTAGACATAGAATTGCTGCAGACCAGGGTATGAACATGTAAAGCTCCCAACATAATGGAAATGATTCCGCAGCAAAAATCAGGAGATGAGAGAGGGGAGGAGGTGGCATGGGAGGAAGTGATGGGTGCTGATCATTTCTGCTGTCACACCAGGGAGTCAGCCTTGCTAAAACGAAAGGATAATTTACAAAAGCCAGGATCGCAGGCTTTCAAAATATTTTTTTCTTATTCACAGAGAGATCTCTTAGGTAAAAATGTCTCTTGTGGTCAAGAAATATTTATCAAAGATTGAATAATGCTTTTGGATTTATTTTCCCTATCATATACAGGTGCAAATGTGCAATATTTTATATTGCAAAAGTATATAACATACAATCCCATGATGATAGAATTATTCATTTATCTATCATCTACTGACCATTTTTCTGTATTTGTGTCTGGAGAGAGGCCAAGACTGATCTTCACTGATACTCATGTTGTTTTATCTGGGTGGTTAGATTTTGGGCAATTGAGTACTTTGTTCTTTGCAGTTGCCAAGCTGCTTGGATTTTTATAAGAAGCATGTACCACTTTGACACAGAGTGTCAGAATCATTGCTTAGAAACATTAAAGGAAAGCTTAATGGCCACGCAGCCAAAAATTACCCCAAATGCAGAGGGGTGGGTTGTCAGGAGATGAGGGCTCTGATCCCTTCCTCTGGCGACAGGGATGGCAGATGCAGCGGAGGACACAGGGTTTGTGCCGGGCCCTGGAGAAGAGGCAGGTTCACCAGGCACCTCTTTTGCCAGGAATCTCAGGGATTTTCCTCCCTCACCTTCCTAGATCTATGGGAGAGGTAGTATGGACTGTTCTTTGGATGAAGAAACTGAGCCCAGCAAGGAAAAGTAAGAGAAGGACATGCTAGATAGAACCACAAGGCACAGGTCCTTCTGCATAGACAGGGGCCTTCAGGACAGCAAGAAAGCCAACTAGCAGTGTGCAGACCTGCACTTCCTGGGCCAGGAGTTGAGCAGAACTCTGAGTGGGGCGCATCCCAGCTGGAGTGAGGGAGATCCCAGCAAAAGCGCAGAGGGAGGGCCTGTAACTGTGCAAGTGTAGACACAGCAGTGGTGTTTGCAGGACTGGCCTACAATGGCAGTGCGATGGGACAGGGAAGGGAGCAGTGATTGGCGCCAGCTAATCAGACGTGGTGCCTGCCATCTTGTGCCACATCCCATAGCACAAGAGAGGGTCGGCAGCATTGGGGACCAGCTCTGGCAGCAGCGGGCAGCACCTGGCTTAGGCTGTGGGTCCTCCACGGTGACCCCCAGGCCCAAGAGAGGAGGAGACCAGGAAGTCTGAAGCCACAGCAGCTGGTAAGGCCATGTGGCAACTACACCCACCCAGACCTGCAGGGCACGAAGACTCAGCTCTTGGCTGGGGTCATGCTCTCGAGGTCATAAATATCTCTCCTGCTCCTTTTGCCTCCCAAAAGGTCATGAAGTCATTAATTACATAGCAAGTGCCAATAAAATGGTCTTGGTCTTCCTCATCATATCCAGAGCCCAGGGCTGTGGGACTGCAGAGCCCAGGGCTTCTGTTGTGTGCCGGCTGCCTTGCTCCATCTGGGCTTCAACACCCCCGCACAACTGCCCACCTCCTGGACAGCGGAACTGTCACAGCACAGGAAGTCCAGCCCTGCTACCTACCCACAGGTGGCCTCAGCAAAGCCATTCCACCCTTCCCACCACAAAGGGCAGGGGTGACTCAAGGCCCAGACATGCAAGGGGACCCAAGAGGTCTTTGGAGAGCATCGGCACTGCCCTACATCACTCTGGCGTGTGAAGCTCACTCCTTCCCTCGGCATGGACACAGTTCCTGAATTTCACTTCCCCCTGCAAGACTCTGAAACCGCCTCCCTGGACAAGCTGGAGGTGGAGAGTCCTCGCTTTGAAGCCCAGTAAATTTGGTGTGAATCACAGCTCAGCCACTCACTAGTTGTGTGACCCAGGTGACCTGGCCAACAGCTCAGAGCCTCAGTTTGCCCGGACATTAAAGGAGATTAGATTGTCTACCCCATGTGTCTTGTCATGGGATTTAAGATTGACAGCACGGATAAGGTGCCCCAGATGTCCCTGCTGCCACCCTTTTCCTTATTGTCCCGCGTACTGTTCCCTGCTGACCCACTCCTGACCCTGCCCAGGTCGGTTGCAGCTGGTGGCCTTGCACCGCCAGGCTGCCCCTCTGGGCTCAGTCCTTGACCAGCTGGGACAGGCTGCAAGTCCTGTGCCACTTCTAGGCCCCTGGCCATTTAACCCTGTTCTCAGCCCTGTGGTGTCGGGTCCCAGATTCCTGCCACTTGGGAGAGTGGGGCTGGGCTGCACTCTGGAGAGAGCCCTGAGCCTGGAGTAGTGGTGGAACTGCCAAGAGATGCACGTGGATCCCAGCTGCCCACAGGAAAAGTAATTCCAACCACACCTGTCACTGAAAATTTTCTAGTGACCACATTTCAAACAAAAAAAATTAAAGAAACAGGTGAAATTAATTAATGGTATATTTTATTGAATATATCCAAATACTGTTTTGTTACTGTTTCATCATGCAATCCATCCAAACACTAGAGGGACATTTAACATTCGGCTTTCTGGGCCAGGAATTTAGCTCAGTGGTCCCACCACCCGCCTCGCAAGCTCAAGGTTCCGAGTTCGATCCCCAGTACCAAAAAAAAGAGAAACATTCAGTTTTCTCCTGTAAGTACTTGAAATCCATGCTCTGCAGCCATGTGTGAGTCAGACAGTACAGATTCTCAGAGCAGGCAAGAGTATCAAAGCGAAGAGCCTGCTCTGGGCCAGGAAACACAGCGGAACATTGCTCATTCATTCAACACCATGAGCTCCTTCCTCCCATTCACCCCCAAGTCCCCTTCCCTGTCACCCCAGCCACAGTGGTCCCTCCGCACTCCCAGCTCCCCTGGCCCTGCTTCTCCATGCCCAGGGCAGCTCCAGGCTACATGTGAGGCAGCAGCCTGGGTCCCTTCCCACCAACTGCACTCAGCAGGTCCCCTGTGTGTGCAGGGGAGGGAAGCAGAGGGGCAGAGGAAAGGATCCTGTTCCTGAGGAACTGGGGAACGAAAGGCCTAGTCAAGCCCCCTTCCTACAATTTCACCCAACACAGCACTGCAGTAGTCGGCTGGGACAGACGGACCCTGGGCACAGTGGTGAGTGGGCCAGGCAAGCTGTGCCCCTCGGGCTTCACTTCAGAGGCAGCTGACAGGGTGCTGACCAGCTTCGCAGGAGGCTGGGAGAGCCTGCCACCTGGAGGCCTCAGTGACCCGAGGAGCTCCTCACTTTCCAGCATAGAAAAGGGGAGCCACTAGTCAGGTGTGGAGGTGACTGCTGTAATCCCGGCACTCTGGGAGTCTGAGGCAAGTTGAAGGCCAGCAGCTTAGTGACTTAGTAAGAACTTGTGCTAAAAGAAAAAATTTTAAAAAGTGCTGGGGGTGTGGCTCAGTGTGAAGGCCTTGGGTTCAATCTCTGGTACCCTACAAAAGGGAGCCACTGAGGCAGAATTGGTCATGAGGGGCCCTGACCTCACCACCAGAGCAACCTTCCCCCTCTCCCTTGAAGCTCCAGAGGTGCCTGTGGGAACTCGGTTCCACTCAGGAACCCGTCCCACCTGCCACTCGTGGTGACACTGGGCCTTCACCAGGGCCCCAGGGCCCATCTCCTGCCCGTTTCCGGCTGGTCTCCCTGGTAGAGACTTCCTGAAGGAAGAGAAGTTGCCAAGTTCTGTTGCCCTGAGGATGGGAAAGCACAGCAGTGGAGCCTCCCGGTGAAAACAGTTTCGGGACCCAGACTCCCCGTTCCCACCATGATGCAGACTCCCCACTGCATGCCTGGCATGCTTGCTGAGTGACTGTCCGGTGATGTAAATCTCCCAACGCAACAGTGACGCCCATCTGGACCAGGATTCTCCCACCCTGTCGGACTCCTCACCATGACCCGACTTCTCCAGGGAGCGGGGTTTCTGTCACTCGAGGTTGTGTCATCCTGGGCAGGTCCCTCTCTGCTCCCCAAGCAGACTTCCTCATCCAGGAAGTGGGGTGGTGACACCTGCTTTGAGGATGGTCCTGAGAATCAGGCGAGGTCATGGCTATAAAGAAGCAGCACACAGGAAGTGCTGGCTCAATAGCTGGTCACTTGCTCCTCCCCGTTAATGCTAGTGGGTTACCTGCAGGGCCAGCTTAGTGGCCGTGATCCCCGGGCACAGCAAGGGAAGGGGTATCCCAAAGTGTGTGTCATGGAACCACAGGATTTTGTGGGGTGTTTCTGTGGGGCGGGATCTGGGCTCCTGTTGCCCAATTCTACCTCAGCAGCTCCACTTTTCTCTGCTCTTTTCAAACAGTAGAAGGAAAATTTTGGTGTTCCAAAAGTTTGAAGTCATTTATCTCTAATCTCACATGATATGACTGGGGAGATGGAGTCATGCCCAAGATTACAGAGGGATTGAGGTGTGGAGCCTAACGATGAAGCCAGTGTAGGCTGACTGAGGCCTGGGAGCAGGGAGCAGCTCACACTCGGGGGTCAGAACCCCGCAGGATCCCTGGGACCCACTCAGACTGGATCCTCAGCTGCAGTGCCTGAAGCAGGCAGGGCATTCAGCTCCTGGCTCCCACCCCCATACTTTCCTGATTCCGTGGCCCCAGGAAGCAGCTCAGCCAGGTTGAGGGGCCCAGAGACAAGGACCCCTGAGGCTTGGAGAGTGGGTCCAGCCTGTACCCTAGGAGCGGGAGCACCCAGAGACTCCCTCTAAAGAGAGAGTGTGAAGGTCTCCTGTGTGCAAGGAGGCAGGTGGGCTGTGTTCAAACTGTCACCTGGTGCCAGGGACAGAGGTGGCCCCGACACAGGCCCTGCAGGAAGGTTATTCCTCAAGGGGAGGGGTGTGATTGGATGTGCTCTGTTTGCTTTGCACATAGGTATCAAAATGCATCAGTGTGTGCGCTAAAGTCCTGTGCATCTCACTGTCTATACAACCAACCTCAATGGCTTAAAGAATCATCTGAGGGAGAAAGACTCAGAAGGAGGGAAATTAGGAATTGGAGCCACCAGGCAGGTACATGTTCTAGTACCAGGGCCGGAGGAGAGAGGACAGAGATGGGTGTGGCTCCTTGTCCCAGCTGGGAGCCCTGGGATGGATTTTCTGTCCAGAAGCCAAGGCCAGACTCACCCAGGTTCATGCACATTTACACCAGCCTCTGCCCTCTGCACCGCCCCACTTCAGTCAGGAGGCTGCACCAAGACCTGGAGCCCTGCCGGCCCAGGCCAACTCTCTCATATCCCTTTCTGTCCTCCACCCCACCCTCAGGGAGGCCGGAGAACCCCCACGCTACAGGAGAATTTATCTGCTGGCATCGTCAAGTCTCTGTAGTCTACCCACTGGCCTCCCTCCTGCTGAGGGACAGGGCCTGGGTCACTGGCCCCTGAGGAGTTTGGGGGCAGTTAAGGGCAAGGACAGAGTGGGGCTCCTGGAAGTGCAGTTGCCCCAAATGGCAGGGCATGAGCTGCCAGAAGCTTGAGGAGGCAGGCTGGGAGCTGTGTCTCATAGCCTGGGAAGCCAGGTGCAAGCGCAGACAGCTCCCCTGACGCAGGTGGGGCGTGGGGGACTCTGGTCCAGCTGCCCCACCAGCCCCTACCTGGAGCCTCCCCAGTTAGGGGAAGGGGAAGCACTAGAGTGCATACCTCCTGTACCCGGGGCACTTTCTTGGGCGTCTGGGCCCAGGTGGACCCTGGGCCTGGCCTCCCACTGGGGAAAGCACAGCTTTTCCTGGCTCTGCAGCAGAGGGCTCCCCTGCGGTGTCACCTCCCTGGGAGGGGCCAGGGCTGGAGAGGGGTGTGTATCACTAGCTGCAGCCCCCAGGAAACAACCAAGCCACACCTTTCTTACCTGGAACAGATGAGAGCTTCCCTCATCCTGTCCTCCCGGGGCCAAGCCCCACCTCTGCCCTCCCTAACCTCCCATAGCTGCTGGGATGTCCTGATGGTGATGTCGTCAGTGGCCCCTGCCATCTGCCCCCTGCTGAGCTGTCCTGGTAACAGCAGGGAGCCCAGGTCCCCCAGCTCCAGGAGGGAGGCCAGCGCTACCCCACGGCGAAACCACCCGGGAAGCACAGGTGTTGGGCAGTGGGGGCCCCAGTTCAGGCTGCTTAGGGAGCTCACAGAGCCTGTGATGCCCCTGGATTGCAACTCGGAGCAGCCCCTGCTCACCAACATCCAAACTCACACCTCTCAGGAAGGAAGGGTCTGAAAACCGTCAGCTCTGCAAAATTGGCCCTTTCCTCTCCCCAGAGGAGAGCAAGGAACAACAAGACAAGGAACAGGGAGAAACACAATGGGGCCTTTTCTGCATGTGTGGGACACTCTGTCCAGCACTGTCCCTGTCCCTTACCCAATGCCCACCGTTCCCGGGTGACACATTTATGCCAGCTTTGGGCCTGGGAGGGGGCCAAGAGAGCCATTGGAGATGGGGTAGGGGTGGGCACGAAATGCCAGCAGGAGCTCCCAAGGTCCATGGCCTCGTGGATGGGGAATTGCTCCTCCACCAGGACTCTAGGTGACTGAACTAGACACAGCTCGAGGCAGGGTGGGTTCCTGTGTACGATGCATCTCCATAGCCCAGAATGAGCTATAGGGTAACACATGACCTCAAACTGGAGAATAGGCCCCTGGGATTGGGGAGAGGAGGTGGGGCAGAGGGGCAGAGCCAGGCTTTCTGGACGAGGAGACATTCAGGGGTAGCTGCACAGAGAGCAGCTATGGGCGGGGGCCCAGGCTGCAGGGCTCAGCCCTTGTCAGAGGAGTCTGGAGTTTTCCTGGGCAAAGAAAGGGAGGCTGGAGATGTGGTAGGCGCAGCCCGAGGGGCAGGGAAGGGCACTCTGCACTGGGAGCAGCTCTGCCCACAGCTTCCAGGCTGCTCTGCCTGATGCTCCACTGAAGCAACTGCAGGCAATTGTGGTGGAGACGCTCCCGGCCCCTCCCTCGGGTCCCCACCCTCGCCAAGCCTGTGCCCAGCCTGTGCTCCACATCTCAGGCACCTCACCCAGGACACCATGTCCTAGAAGTGCCACGAAGCTGTCAGCAGCCAAGGCCGCACCCCTGAGGTGACTCTTCTCCCTCCTGACCAGCCTGCCAGCTCCCTCCACCACCGCAGGTGGGCAAGACAGGAAGAAAGGGCCCAGGCTCCATCTCCCGGGAGGATGTCTTGCCAGGGAGCCCAATGTCAGGATGACAAGCTTAGCCCCTGGTTAAGCCTGGCCTCAGGTTTCTTTATCTCCTGCCCTGTCCACGCCCAGCCCAGCCTTGATGAGACAGTGCTGTCCCATCCGGGCCATCTGAGCTGAGGTTCTGAGAGGGCTCAAGGGCTCCTCCTTGATCCTCAGAGAGACCCCAGCTTTGGGCCCAGGACAGAGGAGAGGAGAGTCTGATGCGAGGGCCTGGGCTCTGCTGTAAACCCCATCTCCCCAGGGTCCAGCAAGGGTAGAGGAACCGGAAATCTGGAATCCTGCCCAGGATCTGGGAAAGAAGGAAGCAGAAAGAGGGGCTGTGAAGAACAGATATGAGGTCCAGGCAGGCCCAGGAACAGCAGGAGGAAGAAGACGGCCCCTGGCTGGGTCTCACTTGGATCTGCAGCTCCAAGATGCCGGGATCTCCCGGGGCCTGCTCTGAAGCTCTTCTCAGTGGCACCCAATGCCCAAGCCCCAACCTCCAGAAGCCCCCAGGGTGTCTGCTCAGGCAAAGGATCATGGAAGGCAGCCAGGGGAGTGGCTGGGGAGGGAGACACCCTTTAACCAGGCCAGGGACAGGGCTCCTGGGGCCAGCAGGCAGCTCTGCCCAGAGAGACCTGAGCTGGGATGGGGAGGAGGCCAACAGTCTGCTAGTCAATCCCACAACTTCAGCCCAAGCTCCAGTCCCACCTCCACACCCCTCTGCTCCTCCCCACCCCCACGCTGTCGCCATCTTCTCAAAGGGTCTCCTCTCCTGCCACCTTGGGCCCCAGGGGTTATTGAGCCCTGCTGCAAGGTCTAGGCGCCACCTAATGGTGCATCTGGGATGGCCGTCGGACAGTCACGAGGCCCCGTGCCCCTCCTAGTTCTTAGAGGGCCCCAGGTGCCTTTTGTTCCTTGCTCTGCCTACCCTTTCCACTCTGTTGCACCCCCCAGGGCTTCTGGACCTTACATTGCTGATCTTTTGCGCTGGTCGTGTGCCACCTGCTGCAGCCCCAGCTGTGGTGCCCATAGCTGCTCCCAAGGGTGTTGGAGGGCAGGCCACACTGGCTTCCTACTGGGGGTGAGGACTTAGAAATAATGGCAGTGCCATGATATAGTGACAGTGACCCCTCACAGCAATCTCAGGCGGGGGGGGTCCTATTATGTCCACTTACACACGAGGAGCCAGGCACACGGATGCTAAATGGCTTGCCCAGTGCTACACCACTGGTGAATGACAGGGCTGGGATTGACCCACACATCCCAGAAGCCAGAGCTCCCCTGGGGCTACCTGTGGGCTGCATGGCTCACTCTGAGGTCAAGTACTCGTCCTGCAGGGGGAGAGAAGAAAGAGCGAGCTGGGAACGCTCTGCCACTAAAGGGCTGCCGGACTGTGCCAAGGCCCATTCGTCTCTGAGCCCTTTTCTCAGTCTACCCTCCACCCCAGGGGCCCTCACGCCCTCCACTCTCCAACAGGGACACGGTGAACCCCAAAGGTGCATCTACAACCCTGTTCTCCCACCTGCTCCTCACAGGCCTTGCCACTTGGATGTTTCAGGCATGCAACAGGTTGTGTCCAAATAGCCTCTCTGAGGGAGGAAAGCCGTGGCTCCTTGCAGCTGACATCCCGTCATGAAGACCCGTCCACATCTCCTCCTCATCACCCCAAATGCCCACTCACGCCCCCCCTGGCTGCCTGCACTTATCTGGCTATGAGGCAGCCAATGCCCCGGAGGCACTGTGCTCTCTGAGCACCCACTGGTGCCGGAGATCTGTAGCTACTGGGTGATGACAGTGACACAGCCATGCGGCTAATGCTTGGGAAATCCTGGGGCCTTGAGGCTGGGAAGAAGCCTGAGGTTTCCTGTGTGCATCAGTGCTCTCCTGCTTCTCGCAGGATTCCACTGCCATCAGCTGGCATCTGCAGGACAACGCAGGGGAACCAGAGGGGAAGCCGTGTAGCATCACCAGGCCGCAGTGCTGCTCCAAGCGTGTTAGTCCTCAGAACCCGGGGAAGCAGGCAGCACTGTGCTTAGGGAGGCCCGGCCTAATGAGCAGGGTTAGGTGAGGTTCACGGGGATGCCCGGCAGGGCAGGGTGGCCTTCACACCCCAAGCGCCGTTTCCTCACCCACCCAGGTTCTCACTGGACATTGTCCAGCCGGCATCCCAGGGCCACTGCTCACCTGTTCTGCCACATCCTTGCCACCTTCCTCAGCTCGCACTGGCTCCTGCCAGACTGTTGCTGCAAAGCCTGAGAGAGCCGCCCAGCCTTGTCCAACTCTAAGGGTCACTGGACAAGAGCCCTAGCCTCTCCTGCACACAGCCAGCTGGCCCAAGCTCCTTCCTGGCCAGGCGCACCAGGAACAGTCTCTCACTGGGGGCTTCGGACAGCATCTGCTTGGCCAACCCTGTGGCTTCTCAGAACTTCAGCTGGAGCGGGGCCTGCACCATCGGACACTCAGCAGCTCCTACTGCAGGTCATGCAGACCATTGCTCTGGACCCAACCAAGCAGGTGCTACTTTCCCATCTGAGAAAGTCTCCCTTTCTATTGCTCCATTCCTAGTCATTTGTGGTTATAAACTTAGACACTTTACATCCTCTTGCCCCTATGGAGGGCATTCTATGCACTTGTAGTTCTCACACCTCATTGAAAGGAGTCCTGTTTTGTGCTTAGTTTACTGACAAGGAAGCCAAAGTTCAAAGGTGAATAACTTGCCCGGCATCACACAGCTGGTGAATTTATTGAGTTGAGACATCAGTCTCACTCCAACTTGAATTACTACCTCTTTCATGATCAACATTTGAGAATCTAATGCATGCCAGGCACTAGTTTTGCCCTGAGAATAGAACAATGAACATAAAAGACAAAAAATGTCCTTCTCATTGGGGGAACGGATACAAGGCAAACCAGTGAAATAAACATCAGACTGTGATAAATTAGGGAGGGAGGGGCCTGCCATTTTAGATTAGAGCTAGAAAAAGCCTGACAGAGAAGTTGCCAGACTAGCGCTGACCTAAGGAGATGTAGGAGTGAGCCATGCAGGTATCCAGGGAAGAGTGTTTCGGACAGGAGGACAAGGAAACCGCTGGGCCTGGAACAAAGGGAGTTGACTGTGAGCGGGCTGGAACTCCTCACCCACCAAGTTGCTTCAGCCATGGTAAGTGGAAGGCAAGGGAGGGATTGCCCGCTCTACTACGGGAGGAGGAAACAGACACAAACTTGCTCGGCCGTTCAGCTAAGTCAGTGGAAGAACAAAGGCAGAAAACTTAGAATCTTGCCGTCTGAGAACCAGGTTCCTTCCTATTTCTAGAATGCTCCATGAAGGCTTCTGCTTCTGTGTGGAAGTAAAGAGTGAATCCCCTGAGGATGATCCGTTCCTCTGGCTCTTCCGGGCTTGGGGTGGGGCAGGAGAAGACTGAGAAGGGGTTGATCCTCTTTCTTGTTTGCAGGGGGCAGCAGTCATAAGTTCATCTGCACGCGGAAGCACCCTCCTTCCTGAGCAGCTCTCCCACATTGGGCACAAGTCTTAGAGATATGCAAACGGGCTCAGGAAGGTGCCACAGCCAGAGGGCAGGCAGTAAGGGAGGAGGCTCCTGGGAGGACCAACCCCTCTTCTAGGCACAGCAGGAGGACCAGGGACCAACAACCCTACCCCTAACCCTCCCCAACTGTAACCCAAACACGAACCCCAACCCTATGGAGGCCACGAGCCACAGGTCCCATCTGTCACTGGTGCTGCAAGGACTTCAAGACAAGCTGTGTCTTTTCAGGGTGGCCTGGCAGAGTCAGGACTGAGGAGAGATGCTAGTGAAGTGCCCCTTGTCCCCTGACATTCACAGGGGATTAGCCAGGATCCATGAGTAGGGTCCAGGACACAGCTACTAACCTAGCTGTGTGACTTGGGCAAGACCCTTCTGGTCTCTGGGCCTGTTTCCTACCTGGTAGAATCAGCCATGGCCAATCCAGGTGGTTCCTATGTGATGGTTTAGCCTTTCTAGAACCAGCTGGAGTGAAGGGGGATTCTCTGGGAAAATTCGATTCTCAAGGCTCACTCTGAGCTAATAAGCACTTGCCAGAGGGTTGCGATCATCATTGGTGATAAATGAATGTTAAGCACCCAGAGTAATATTGATGTGCATCGAATCCTGGCACTACTGCTCCGCGGCGTCCCTCCTCTTCCCCAGGACCAACTAGAAAATGTTTGAGGTCTGTGCAAGACGAAAACACACAGCTCCTTTCCGTTAAAGAATGCCTAAGAACTCGAAGATGGCAACAGCAGAGGCGCCCTTCCAAGTGGGGCTCTGCGGGGCCGCCAGCAGGCCCTGCCTCTCCCCAGTGTGCTCCTCCTCCGGTTTCCTCCATTCTCCGCCGGGCTTTTCAAGGCTGCGGTGGGATGGGGCTCCTGACCCACACGGCGAGACCCCGAGGATGCCGGGCGGCCCCGCCTCAGCTGAGACACTGGGGCCCCCAGCAGCGGGGAGAGCACGGGGCAGGGGGCAGCGAAGGAGACAGAGCAAATGCTGCCTCCACAGCCGCATTCCGGGCCACTCACAGGCTGGCCTCCCAGCCACGAAGTCTGGGTCACTTACTTGGGGGACAAAGTTCGGTCCTCCTGGTTAACACCTCTGCCACCCTTAGCTGAGGTGAGGTTTTAATTCCTGGAGCAGCATTTACCTCCCTAAGTGACCCCTTGCCGACCCCTCCTGGGAGCTGCGGAGGTGGTGGCCCAGTCTGGACTCCGCGTGGGACAGGGACAGGACAGAGCGGAAGAGGACAGAAGGGGCGCGAGGGCGGGGAGCAGCAGCCCTGGAGAAGGTCAACACGCCTTCCGGGGGCACAGCGCCCTCCTCTGGGCCTGGCGCGGGGCGGCGACGCGGGGAAGCGGGGGCGAGGCTGGCTCCCGACGCCGTCGCTCGGCCGAGGAGAGGCGGGGGAAGCTGGGCGGCTCCGCTGGGCGCGCGGGGTTGGAGCGCGGGGGACGCGGCGTGAGGCCGACTCGCGCGGCCGGGAAGCCGGGTGCCGCCCAGCCAGCGCCCCCGTGTGGCAGGTGGGGACAGAGTCATCCTCGATCCTATTGAGTTCTAGTTTCATTCTATTGTCGCTTGAGAAAACACTTTTATGACTTAAATCCTTCAAAAGAAGACACCTGTTTCATGGCCCGATAGGGTTTGTCTTATTCGGTGTTCTCTCCGCTGCTACGGGGAGGGTTCGGCAAAGGTCAGCGAGGTCCAGCAAGGTGCTCCGCGAGCTCTAAATCAGTGCAGTCCACAGTGAACGGGCCGAGCTAATGGAGATGCACATCTGCGTCCTTACAGATGTTCTTTCTAGTCCCAAACGGAACCAGAAATCCTGCTATAACCACATTGATATCACATAAAATAATCTTTAAAGCAAATATCTTCACTACAAATAGGCGAAATCATTATGAAGTTAAAATGCTTATTTCACCAGAAAAAAACAATTCTGACCTGAACTTCCAGAATTATAAGAGAAATTAACAAATAAGCCGTGTGATATTGGACCACTCTTGCCTCAGTAATTAATGTATCAAGTAGGAAAAAATAATAACAAGGCTGTAGAAGACGTGACAGCACAGCGAATGGGCCGAGCTAATGGACAGATACCGACCGCTGTGTCCCCCACGGGGCAATGGGATTCTCCTGGAGCCCACGTGACACGTTTATGACACCTGCCAGGCACGAGGTCATAAAGGTGCCGGAAAAGTTTCATAGCTGGTGTCGTGTAGACTGCACTGTTTGACTACAAAGGCAACTGGGTTGGAAATCAGTAATAAAAAACATATAGGAAGGGGCCAGGGATTTAGCTCAGTGGTTTCACGGCCTGCTGCGCAGGTGCAAGGACAGGAGTTCGATCCCCAGTACCAAAAAAAAAAAAAAAGGAAAAAAGTGCATATATCTAGAAAATTTGAAAGACAGCTTAAAACATGAAGGAGTGGCAGAAGGTCTGAGGTCTGAGTGAGCTTTCTTTCTTCCTCTCTTTTTTATTAAAAGTTTTCTTAACGGGTGCTTGCAGTTTGGTGACTTGTTTTTCTTTTTGGTACCGGGGATTGAACTCAGGTCCTTGTGCTTGCTGGCCAGGTGGCAGAACCACTGAGCTAAACCCCTGGCCATTGTTTGTTGACTTTTTGAGGAAAAATCAGGTTTAAAGTTGTATTACAAATTAAAAATGAAGCTCTTACAAATCTCAACTTGACTGATATGAGACAATTTAAAAATCTTTAGAGGTGCCTTGAGAAAAGACAGGCTTTTTTTTTTTCTGAAGTTTTATGGTCAGTTTATTAAGTTCAATGGTGAAAGTTATCAGAAGAATATTCTCCTGAGAGTTATTTTTTCTTAGAAAAAAAAAGAAAGGAAAATTAAAAACCTCTCAGCACAGCCACAGATGCTGTGGCTGTGGAGCTCTCCGGAGATGGTGCATCAGTCCTCTGAGTCACTCCCTGGGCCCCAGGGTTGTAGTCTGGGCCGTCCTCAACATCCTCCAGCTCCAAGTCACCCAGTTCCCGGAACAAAGACTCACCTACTTCCACATTATTTCCAGCATCCTCCAAGAACTGGATGTCAGACCTGTCAAGATTATGATCGGTTTCAAACAGCTGTTTGCCACTTAATTTATTGTTTCCTGCTTGCTCTTCTTTTATCCGTTTCTTTTTAATTTCCAAGAGTTCTGCATCAAACTTGGCTTTCCAACATAAGAAATTCTCAATTGTAACAGAGGTGCCGTGGAATAATTGCTTCTCTGCTTCTTCTGCTTCTTTTTCTTTTAGTTTCTTTTCTTCCTCTCTTCTCGTTGTTATCTGATCTACTATATCATTTAATTTTTCTTGTACTGCTGTCACTAGAGTAAAGATCACGACCACACCAAGATTTTCCTCAGCCTATAACGCTAATAATTTTAAAATGTCTATGACATCATTATCTTCTAGGTTTTCCTGGGAAAATATTTCATAAAGAGGAGCTTCATCTGGGTGTTTTTCACTCTATGTAAACTTGAGGGTAGTCTGGACAGTTTCATCATTTTCTCCAGCCTCAGAGGTCACAGTGACGGTGAAGCTGGGTGGATTTTCTGATAATACTGTGAAGCAGTCAGGGTAGATGGACTCCAGCGCCTCCAGTTTGTTTCGCTGCTCCTCGCTGTAGTCTGTCATCGTGGCCTTGGCTGCTGCCCGTGGAGCACGCCGACTCTCAGCGCGCCACAGCCGAGTCCCGAGGCCTCCAGCCAGGCCTGGCCTGCTGAGCCACGAAGACAGGGTTTTTAAAAGAAGCAGATCCCGCCCCGCCTGTAGGGCTGTTCGCCTGGGCCTGGAGCCTCCTGCAGCTGCGCGATGGTGTCCTGCAGCTATGCAGCCCCAGGCGAAGCTGGACGTGGTGAGTGAGCTGTCGCCCTCGGTGGCCCGGATGACGATCTCAGGGATGGAGATCTGTCTGGTCCAAGCATCCTGGGGTGGAGGACACAAGCAGGGGCGGGTGAATCACAGCTCAGGGTCCTGGGGTCTCGGGCCACCCAGGGCCTCATAAAAGCTCTCAGCAGCCCCGCCCCTGCCGATGGCGCCCGGCTCGGCTGCCAAGATTTCCTTTAAATAGCAAGTCCATTCATAATAGACACCAGAAATACATAGCCGTTAAGGTACGTACGTTATACAAAGGTGGACAAAACCCAAGGACTTTGAATTGTTTATTGTAATAGGACTTCATCTCCAAGTTAAAGAAAATTTAGTGTTTATTAAAATGTATAACAATACTTTCTGTTCATATGTAAAATGGGTTATAGGGATAGATAATTAAGTACAAGTGTTTTCCCCTTCACAAATATGTCACTCCGGGCATTCAAGCGCTCTGCCATAAGTGCACAATTCTTTACTGGGCTTTATGTGGGGCCCAGCACCTCTGGCCACGTCCACGAAATCACTGCTGAAAACTCGGAGCTGCGCTCAGTCCCACAGTGCCCTCTAGCGGTCAGTGCCGCGTCGTCGGGAACCCCAAGCCTGTAGGTGACCGGAGGGGCTTGGTCAGTGTCTGCCTACGTGAGTCCTATTAGAGGTTTTTGTCTTGGGCGGGGGCGGTGACTATGGATCCGAGCTCAGGCTAAAGTTTCTCTGAGGTGAGGACCCCTTTCGCTGAATCCCTATGTGACAGTGAACTCACTGTGTCTCCTTGAGTAAGAAACACCCAACCAGACTGATCAGCGTGCTTCCGGGTGTGGCCGCAGGGATTTACTGCAGACAGAAGCCTCACCCTGGGTGTGGGTGGCACCAACTACCAGTAGGCTTGCCGCCTGCCCGGGAAAAAGGAAAGCAAAGAAGGAAGGCTGCTTCTGTTTCTTCGGAGGAGCTCCAGTCTTCACCTTCACCTTCACCTTGGACGTCGTCTCCTGGCTTCCAGCGCAGACTCCAGCCTCCTTCAGCCTCCATCGCAGACCCTTCGGCCTCCTGATACGGATTTGCGCAGGGCACTACAATGAGCTCCAGGCCTTCGACTGGACCCTTCGGATCCCCAGTGCAGCCCCTTTGCATTTTTCTGCACCTGACTCTGCGGGCAGCCACTGTAAGCCAATCTCGTAAATTCTTTTATACTTGTATGTCTCGCATTAAATCTGTTTGCCTAGTGAGCACTGACTGACACACCCTAGTACACTTCTAATTTAGAAGCTTTAATAAGAAATTTCACTCAAAACTGTATCTATTTAAATCATTAAAAATAAAGTTATCGTCCGGGGATTTAGCTCAGTGGTTTCGCCACCTGCTATGCAAGTGCAAGTACCGTAGTTCGATCCTTGGTACCATAAATAAATAAATAAATAAACAAACAAACTTATCCTTACACATACAGTAGAGAATTAAAGACAGTTGCACTGGCAATTCTGCCTCCTCTCTGCATCCATCTCCCCTAAAAAATACTTTCCTCTGGTATTTTCTAGGCAATCAAGGTACAAAATGAGGATAGAACCACTGTCTTCTACACACTAGTGCAAAGGCACAGAAAGCAAAAAATCCAAAAATCTTTGACACATGACTCTGAAATGTATTGCTGCATTTTTACTTGACAGAATATCTTCCCAATTAAGTTTTGATTCAGCATCTATTAAAAGTAACTTCACTTTCCTGATCAAACTGTTGACTAAAGATACGTCTTTGGGACACAGGTTGGAAAGAGGACTGAGTCAGAGAACTGGGAAGAGAGCACCTAAGTATTTTGATCAGTTTTACTGTTTGGAATTAAGATAAGGAGTTTCTTTTGGGGACTGAAAAACTACCATTCATCTAAGATATTTTGTTTAATTAGCACATATCTATTCAATTTCTGCCATGAGAAAAGGCTTTCTGGAAATGTCCAGTGAAGCAGTACTCAGCCTCAGCAGATGAAATGGCCATTATAGATGTTTAGTCTGTTTCCTCTCTTCACTTTTTGCTAATTAGCTAATAATCCCTACAAAGTCTTTATTTTATTTT